TGCAAGCTCGAACTTAACAAATGTTTAGAATATTTGAGTTTTTCAAATGGTGCCAAAATAAACCATGTCTTTTCTAAAGACTACATATTCAGCCAGGCACTGGCAATGTAAATCTTTCAACCATTTCAAGTATTTGTTTAAAAGCCTCCCAGAACACGTGTGCTCCCAACAAAACTGAAGAATGAAATGTTTAGACCACTGAAGCTCAACAGCTGACTTCTAATCAACCTAATATGAGAACACCGCTTTGGTTTTTTGGACTCACGGATATATTTTATTTACCAACGCATGAGAAGAACAAACAGAGAAAGTCCAGTTCTGCAGACCTGATGTGAAATGGTACACCGATAAGAGTCCGTACGTGTAATGCTGCGACCATAGCAAGCACAGCATTGGAGAAACTGCTGGTCAGTGATTTCATGTGCAGCACGGTTTATTCTTGCATGGGAAGAAAATCTTCTGGGGTACAAATTAAAACATAAAAAAGCCAACAAACCTAACAGCTTTCATCTGGAATTATTCCAAATAAAGAAAATAAAGGAATAGAGAAATCCTGACATTTAGATAAAAAACTTGGATTAAAGATGTTACAATTTATGATCACCTGATAAGAATACTTATACAGCCATTTAATCTGAAAATTAAGGTATCTTGTAAAATGTCCTGTGATGTGGAACAAATAAATAAATAAATAAATGCACCTGTAACAACATATTGACATTACTAAACTATTTCAATATGATGGCTTATTTATAAAAGCAGTTTTAATATTCCCCTACGTTAATGATTAACTAATGAATCTTACTTTCTTGTGAATATATTTAAAAAGGAATCAAACTGACTTCATCTACAGGATTCCACTAACAAGACTGAGCCGGCTCTGAACTTTTCATATATCAGCAGTTTTCCCAACGTTAGTACAGAAAACCTTATCACCAATTTTGGGCTGTGGCCTGAATGAAAAACAGTACTAAATGACTAAAGGTCCACAGTTCTTTTCTGTTAGAGTTGATTTGTCACAATATTGTTAATTAGTGAGGGCTTAGGGAAGGCTTACTATGAATAAAATTACAGTGCCGAAAAGCATTAATAACACTCTTATCCCGAGCCAACACGATGCTATTTACATATTTTACCCTGGCATACACCAGAAATGGCTCCCAATGCATAACGTGCTGCAGGATCATCAAGAGAAACACACAAAATCTTACAGGGGAAGGACGTTTCTGAGTATCTTGGTGCTCTTCAAGACAGCAGGGACATTAATTTGACCAGTAATTACAACCATCTCCCTAAGCATTGCCTACGGTGAGCCACCTTTCATCATGAGCTGCTGTTCCATTGGGAGGCAAATGAATTGCTACTCCTGGTACATAATCTGATGCAATCCCATCCTTCTCTCGTAAATTAGGACAGAATTTGTCTGCTCTATATGGCAGGCTTCTTTTCACCTTCAGAGCTCTGTATAGACCTCAATCAGTTCTCAATGAACAAACTACATGATAAAAGCAAATTAACCTATATTATCATTATCGCCTATTCCTATGCACCAGACCAGAATTCCCGCCCTCGTTACACTGAAACGCAAAACTCGGACTGGGTTCAATGGGGCCAGAAACTCACCCAAGAGCACTAAAGGCTGGGCCTGCATTACTGGACCTGTGACTTCTGCTGTTCACTTCAGCAGGTGAAGGAGCAAAAGTGTTCTGACGCCAGTCACATGGATGCTTTTGCAAACTCCCGCCAGGAGCCTGTGCATCTCTTCAGGGGCTACATCCCTTTTATGACTGTCACTAAGGGATTTGCCAAAGACCACACACCACATTGTTAGCAAGAAAGAGTGAGAACCCAACCGTTTCCAAATCTTCGCCTCTCAGCACAGTAAATTTCCCAAGGTCCTTTTCAAAGAAGACAAACAATTCTAGTTGAATTTTTTAAATTAACACCTAATTTAATTATGATTCAAAGTCAATTATCTACAGGATGAGAAAAACCCCTCACTAAAAAGGTCACTGAATTTCAGGCTACATGGCACAAGGCATAAGACAGAGTCAGGAAATATTTTTTCAGCTTAGGTACAATGTCTTAAAAGGAAAACTATGAAGAAAAATTATCACCTAATTTTACTGAATCAAGTATTACCCACAACCAGCTCTATCTGACATGAAGCCTGCTAGATGGCTTTTGCCTGGCTGATCCTACTTTCCTAAACAGAGTCAGCGGACAGAAGAGGCTGGAGGTCAAACAGCCTTGCTGTATGAAGCCTGCGCTCACAAGATTATTCACTCAAAAGGCAGAAGGACTTGGGGGAAGGTGAGGAGCTCTCGGTGCTGCCAGGGGAAGGAAGAATTTAGCACATTCATGCGTGGAAAACAAGCCCTGATTTAGTAAACTTGCATTTCCAAAGTAGCAAACAAGCTTTTTCATCAAAGCTGCCCCAGAGTAAGAGGGAAGATCTTTAAGTGGAAAAATAAGTAGTTCAAAGCAAGATTAAAACAATGGGTACGCATAAATGTATCACTTCCACAGTGAAGGAAAGTGACTCTACTGTCCTACAGGGGCCTTTGCCCCATAGTGCGTGCTGTTCAACTCAACTAAGAAATCACCTTGAAAAGGGGGTTAATTTGGAGATGGTGGTATTTCGTATCACTGCATTTAGCATAGGGATGCTGATGATACTATGATAATGTAAAGATGAGCTGTGAGAAGAGATGGAACAGGAGCTCATGGTCACCAGGGAAAGCATGCTAAACCAACACATGACATTCAGTACCCATAAATGCAAAGTTATGCATTCAGAAAACAGTTCTTACTTCATACACCCCATGATGAACTCTGAGCTGAATATTATAATGGAGGAATAAGGTCTAGAATTGTTGTTGTTATTATTATTATTATAATAGAATACTAATTTAAAAGACATTAGCTGTCATAAAGCAAATGCATTGCTAAAAATGATTAGCAATAGCACAGAGCATAAAACAGATAACATAATTATGAGAACTGACAAAGTCACAATTTGTCCATATGTTGAATACCAGGCACATATCTGGTTTGATCTCAGTTAAAACACCGCAGAACTGGAAAACAAATAGATTAGCAAGACAAGGCTGATTAAAAACACAGGACAGCTTTTTACAAAAGACTAGAGGTTCTCTCTGGAAAAGAGATGGTGGGGGAAGGATGTCAAATGCATAAAATCACAAGGGACATGGAAAATATCTGAACAGGGAATGGCTGTTCACTGTTTATCTAATACAAAAACTAGGTGACAGCAAATGAATAGAGCTGGTTCATAACAAAGATAAGGAAATATTTCTTCACTCAATGCATCATTAACAGCAGAAGTCCTTGTGAGAGGAACAAGAAGATACTAAAAGTTTAAATGGATTAAAAAACAGGTCATGAAAAAAAATGCTGCTAAAAACAAAGACACCACCTCTAAATAACAAATTGATGCGAGACCATTTGGAAGAAAGGTCAATTAGTTCTGTCTTGATTTTGTACCCTTTCCTAGGCATCTACTACTGGTCATTGCCAAAGACAGTCTTCGGGCTAGTTGGACCTTTGGTCTAGCACAGTACGGTAGTCCTTACGTGTTTATCTTCATTCCTTCCCCACCACCTCTTTAGAGCAGAATTGGTTCAACAGCACTGACAGCGCAGGAGACCTTGACTTTCACTTAATGAACTAATGCTCAGCGAGGACAGCAGGAAAAAGAGCAGCTCAGTTGCCTGAGCGCTGGACAGCAGCACATGGGAGGTGGTGAAGGGGCTGGGGGTGACAGCCATCTGCTCTGGAAGCATTGAGCTTTCTTTCCACTGAGTAAGCACTGGGGAGAGACTCCAGACATACTGGCTATCCTAGGATACACCAAAGGTCAAAAAGGAGCACTTCAGAAGTTTCTAGAAGCGACTTGGGTAAATTTGGCTAGGAGGAATGCTACTCATCTCCCTGCAGGGGGTTAGGTTTGGTCAACAGAAACTAGGGGGAGCACAGGTCTGCAGATGATGAAGGTTTAACACAGAAGTGCTTGAAAGCAAAATCAGGCACTGAAATGTCTCCTCTTACCCAAATTTAAAATTTCATTTTCTTCTGCTAGACTGCCCTATAATTGCATCATTAGCAACAAACATTGAGAGGGAAGACAGCATAACAACATTAAAGGCAAAGCAGAGTAGGCAAACGGAAACTTTAGGAGCTACAACCGCCCTGTCTGAGCTGGCTGGCCCTGGGAGTAGCTTAAAGCCCACTACGCTCCTGACATTCACTACTGAAGTAAGAGATTATAGCTGACCTTTCTGCTCACCTCTGGTCATGTGACAAAGATATACCGAATACAGGGAGATATCTGGGTCACAAATCTAACTCTAGGTCCAATTCTCTTGTATCTGTAAGGTCTGCAATGTCTGTGTACCCCAACTTCTCCTCTCCACCCCTCATTTTCTCCCCTGCCCATAGGAGTCTGTCCTTCACTCTCGGAGTTCAGTCCCAGGGCGCTTCAGGAGTACACAAAGCAGAGGGCTGGCCGTCTGGCCTCAAACCCAGCCTGGATGGTACTCCTGTGATGCCGAGCAATCAGAGGGCCAGAAGAAGCAAGCAAAAAGCCTTGCAGGAAAGGGGCGAGGGACCCACCTTACACTGAAAAGGCAGGTTTTGACCCTGTAAGGTGGTTTTGAATATCTGAGAGATTTGCCTTCATAGGAAAGAATAGAGGACTGACTAAAATCAACCCAGGAAACCTTCCCCACTGTCTGAGATCCTGTGCAATGTCACAAGGCTTTCACACAACAATTTATGAAGTTGTTCCTCCAGTGAAACCTAACTGTCCATTTCTTTCATTGCATGTTGAAAATGCCATGTACTAGCAGAAGCTATTCAACTGTTATATAAAGCTATACATGTATCCTTCTCAGTTACTAGCTGCAATTCAATGGGCTATGAGTAAGGTGGAAAAAATCTCCAATATACTAGCCAGAGATATTTCTTGAATGTGAATCTACTTTATCAATTAATATATTTAACATACAAATACTGGACTGTTTGCAGTCTCGTAAATAACATAAAGGATTTAAATTTTGAAACTGCTTTGCAGGATTTTGCACCTGAAGCCTGCAGTATTCAAAAGCACAATCAAGCTGTGCCTTGCAGCAGGCTATAGTCTAGTTAAACACCGAGAGGACAGACTGTTAAAATAAGCATCTACATCATTTTTCACAGTACACAGTGCCACAATGCATCTGCTTAAAAACAAATACATGTTTGGAGTGAAACATTTCAACGAATCACAGAACTCAGCAGCAAAGTAGTTAAACATTTATGATTTGATTTTATCTCAGCTTGGAATGTCACTGGAGTGTCCCACTTCTAACAACTGTTTGCTAAGTTAAGGCTTTAGTGTTTACACAGTGCTGAATGAAGCAGCCTGGTCACCAGATGTGAATGCTTCCTTAGACTAGAGCTTTCAATCAGATCACGGTCCTAATGGTCCCTGCTCCAACCTTCTTCCTCAGGACGTCCACCAGCCTTTCCAACCTGAGAGGGGGCAGGGGAGAGGGAGAGGAGAGAAAAAAAAAGGAAGCTAACGTTAGGAATGCTATGGCTGAAAGAGACAGTGTTTGCACTGAACCAAGCTGTCCTGGTGGTGGTCACGCTCAGAAACAAAGCACTACTGTAAGAGACAGACATGAAGGGAAAATGCAGACAACTTCGGAAAACTTTTTCACCTATAACCCAACCCATATGCAGTCAGTCATATATATCAACTCACTTCTCTTTCGTAGTATATGTAGTATCTGAGGTCCCCGTAAGACATTAACGCAAAATCCCGTGCAGCAATGCTGTGGCACATACATGCTTCAGTGTAAGCAGGACTTTCAATTCTTGCACTTTTAAAAACATGAGTGGTCCATGGCTCTTGCTATATGTAACACTCAGCTGTTGTTTCCCCTTAAAAAATACTGTGCCCATTATCCAAGAGGTACTTTTACCGCCCAGTTCATAAATTTATGCCTAAACCCCCATGTGTTTGATGTCAAAAACTTTCTCAAATACTGAGCAAGCCAAGTTTCTGAGGACATGGATGATGACATTTTGAAGGTGGCCTGTATGATTATTCTGTTGACACAACTACAGAAAAATTAACAGTCTAAATAAGTAGAACAGAGAGCTGCCTAATCCCCTCTTAGTTTTAAGGCACAGGCTATAAGCGTGTCCAGCATCTCACTGGCTTAATTTGTTCTTTCCTTTTGTTAAAGTACGTAGGCAAATGCAAAGGGCTAAATTAGTTCAGGGTTTTCCATTTGCACACATTTATCTTCAGTACTCCAGCAATGACGCATTCAAGCTATTTCTTCAATTTATCTGTATTTCATGAAATCCTTCAGTGAAAGCTCTCCTACAAATAAACTAGCTCTATAAAAGCAGAGACTGTGTGTAGTAGAACACTTCTAGAGCCATGCCCAGCATATTGTAAACACAACTTCCATAATGGATAAAAAGAGTTGCAGGTTGAAATAGCTGTATTCACTGTTGCAAAGTTGGCCATTTTTTCTTATCTGAAAAGATAGGTGTGGTTTTTTTTTTAATGTATTATACAACATGAGGAATACAGATAGGAAATAAAAATAACAAAGCTTTATCAAAACTGAAAAAAACCATTTTATCTCCTGGATGCATTAGTAACTTCAGTGCAGGAAAACTAATTAACACGTATTGGATTTATTGCCACAAGTTGTGACTAACGCACACGGTACGTATTGAAACACTCTTGTTTTCCAGGAACCACCAAGCACCATGAAGCTACACCTTTCATTGTACTCACCAGGTGACTTAATTCCTGAAACAAGATTAAGAATTCAGCACCCTAAAGTAATTATCAGACACCGGGGAATGTCTATGGAAAGTTCAGCTGGTCCTAGCTGTTCCACAGAGACTCTAAAGGAGTGAAAGCACAGGTGAAAAACTACTGCTTACCTACTCCTTTCCTTTCAATTTTGCACGTATTGCTTTTCCTGTTGCATTTTTGTAACATACATCCACTGCATTTCTTCGTCTTTATGGAGGCAGCAACCAGTCATAATTCAGTGCAGTCAGTCCACGCAAGTACAAAGTCAGGGCTTTCACAAGTTACTTGTTCCTGAAAGTTTTCTCACAGTTGATAATTGATGTTTTCTGGCTTCTAAGGGTTTTAACTCAGTTACTGATAGGTTGTAGTTTCTTCAGCCTCTCTTACTAGAGAAGTTTCCCTGTTAAATCAGTTGTTAGACCATGTGCGCAATGACAGATCAGTCCTCACTTTTAACAGCATGTATGTTCAGAAGCATAGCAGCTTTCTCAGCCTCTTTAACTCTCACTGGAGGTCTCTTTCTCTTTCACACTAGCACCCTCTCTAATGTGCTTCAGAGACATGAAGCACAAGAGAAACATTTCAAACTGTCTGGACAAACAAAAAGTTTGGGCTGCAAGCTGTTTTCTGGGAGACAACAGAAAAACAGTAAAATCTGAGATCATGGCTCATTTAAATTATTGTTAGTTTAGAAAGAAATACTGCATGGCTTACACAGTCGGGGGAAAAATGACTTCAATAATTGAGGTTTCATTTGGGGAGACACAGGTTGGACGTCACCGCTCACACACTGTTCTGCCATCGGGCTCAGATGTGCACCACTCTGTGACCAAGGAATGACACTGCACACCAGAGCAGACAAGGTGGAGGAGAGCTGCCCATGTTTGAAGAGAAATACCACTGGGATGAAAGTAGCTGTCTTCTGTTTAATCTTGAAACTGTCAGGCTTCATTGAAAATAATGAGGCTTAACAATCATAGCTTTTGCTTTTCAAATGAATGATGACTGAAATCATGAAAATGAGGTATCCTGCACCAAACACAAACTGCGTAGGGCTTATTTGCCTTTTGTTTCTGTCATGTGTAGATCTGCAAATTTATTTATTCTTTATTAGAAGAAAAAAAAAAAGCAGAAGGGGATTAAGAAACCATACCTTTGAAAGAGATTTAAACAACAACGTAAAAGAGAAACTGTAACAGCTATCTATAAGATAAAATAGCAGAAGGCAAAATTCACCCCTACACAGACACAAGGCCCAATATACCACTGAAATCCCACTTAAGCCTACAAAATAAAGCTATGGGCTGAATCGGTGGTTAATAACTCTTGATACAGGCCTCAGGGGGCTTTTCGGAACGATAATCCTGGACTCTTTGTTCACCAAGGGCCCAACTCTGCCATCCCGACTCACACTAAGCAACACTTTTCTTTGTGAGTAATAAAAGACAGCTAACAAGGCCGTTTGTGTCAATGGGGCACTACCTGCAAGGGGTGAGGGTGGCAGAATCGTCCCTTGTCGGTAGGGCTCCGCACCCAGCCCGGTGGGATGCTGCAGTCAGCTCCTTTTGGAGGCTGAGCTTTTATTCTGCGCTAAACTGAAGGAATAGTCTTATACCTCAAGATCAAAGGTAACTTAAATATCTAAACAGAACAATGGGAGGTGCTGGGAACTACCCTAAAAGTCTCAGTGTCTGCAGAGTTTTATTCAAAATACAGAAGACACTGACTTGAAGAAAGCAACTTTTATTACTTTGTGCAATTGTGATGTATCTGCCAGTATAATCTCATCATATTTTACTTAACTGAAAGCAATACTGACTGTGTTTGATCATATACTAAGACATAGATTTAACAAATGACACTTGTATTTTTGCTTGTGAAGGAAACAGTCCTCATAGTATAAATTAAACACACACTATGACACTATCATCTCCCGAGATATAAACAAGACTCTCACTCAATGTGCATTTCATGAAGCAACCAAACAAGTTGTTCAAGAAGAAAGTATTTCAGATGGTGTTTTAGGTCAGACAGAAGAATGATATGGTGGGCAACTCAGTTGCAGTGCCAAAGGTCCAAATGTGCAAGGACAGACAGACACGTTTAGGAATGTTCAACACAGCTTCTTAGGTCTCACTTCTCATTCTCACAGATTTCAATTTCTCGCTTAGAGAGTTTGGAAAATCCCAGTATGTGACCTTTGTTATTTCTTGGTACTTAAATAATTCTAGAAAATCTGCCCCTTTACAAATAAATTGTCTTAGCAAATGCCACTTCAGCATTCTCTACACAATTGCTGTATGTCTGCATGCAAAATGAGCACAAAATGGCATATAAAATACAGGAAAAAACTATGTATTCAGATGGATAGGTACAACTTGGGATTTATTTATACTGATTTGCATATACCCAAAGTCAAAGTCCTGTGCTTTTCAGCATAGATAGAATTTACATCCATGAAAAGCACAAAGATGAGAGCCAGAAATATTCTTCATCTACACTACTTCTTTAATGCTCATCTCAGTGCTTCTACGAAATGGAAAAAAAAAAAAAATCCACAAATTAGGAAACAGACATCTGGTCCACCATTATTTTTAAGTTAGCAAAAGATGTCTCATTGTGAAGTCTTGAATAGCAGTCAATTAATTCTTCCTCCAGACATTTTGGAATTAATCAGGTGAATCTGTGTTTTAATAAAGAAATAAAAAATTTCCTTCAGGAGTTTGCCGCTATAATATTACCAGTTCGAATACGTACTTTTAAAAGTGTTGCTAAGTTTTAAGAATGTCCTCATGTCCAGAGGAATGTTACCTAAACAAGACTGTTGCTAGGTTTGTCTTCCCCAAGACAAATTCTCAACCATTCTCAACTCCTCTTCTAGTTATTTCAAATCGTGTTCTCTTCTCACCTATGTGTACATCTGACAAAATGCCTGTATGGAGTGTATGTTGTTATATGGAGTATATTTAATGTAGCTCATGAACTATCTGACAATCTGCTTTACTTCCTTGAGTATAAATCACTTTGGATTTAGAACCAGTCTCCATTAAGTGGACTTAAAATCCTTAATGACAGAGAAATTCGTTCCAGCAGCTCAGAACCTGGATGCATAGTTGCAAATATGTTATGTACTGGTCCCTAGTGCCAACTCATGTGAGAATGAGAGCAGTGGCCTTTATTCACAAGTTCACAGAGTGATCTTCCAGGGTGTCATGCCCCAGAAATAGTCAAAATGGGTACCCAACTGAAAGAAAAGGGCATCCTTCGAGTAGCCTATGTCCTAATCTGCAAAGCAATACATAAACTAGCCAAAAACAATAGCTTCTACCTGCAGATGGAGGAGTTAAGCGATAAAAACAAAACCCTCCTGGATTTTGAAATGCTATATCAAGGCCTATGAACCTAAACTATAACCCTTGGTTATCTTTCCAGTAGATAAGATTAGGTTCAGACTATGAAGATGGCCTTACCTGTGTGATTTCTGGCTTCTTGTGGAATGTGTTTTGCTAACACTAATTCCTTTTAGAAATCAAGCATTCAAAAATATGTAAGGCAGATAAAACGCATTGGACGAAGGCTTTACAAGCAGTTTAGCAGTAGAGCGCAGTGAATAACTGACTGTTTGGTGAGTGGTCATCCCAACAGATTCACTTAATTTCATCTTGGAATAAAAAAAACCCCTTCACTT